ATGCTGGATATAAACACAGGAGTCACATGTTCAAACTCCAGCTGTTGCTTGAAGCTCGGTGGATAGCCTTGGTTGAACAGTATTTCTTGTTCTCTAACCCTGCGAGAGGAAAATTAATTCTGTTTTATTTCAAGAAAAAACAACAACACAGTATGATTCAGCAGTACAAACTTGGGAAACGCTGTCTGAGACAAGGCCTCTTCGTCTTTCCTAAAGAACATACATGCTATTCCCTCGATGTACGCAAAGTGGCTTCTGTCAGCCTGCCATGGATTAAAACCTATGAGTCACTTCCTCTTATAACCTGTCACTCATTTCTGCGTGATTCATTTTTAGTGCCATTTCAATGTTTTCCTGTGTTTGCTACAAAAAAGGTTGCTTTATTGGTTATGGAAATAGAAGCATGGGCACTCTGAATGAATTACTTAGAAGAAAGAACAGAAGCTAAGGGCAAGGTCACCTTGATGTATCATAACTCTCAAGTGCCGTCACCAATTTTCAGAGCTGAATGCTGTAAAAAAAAAAAGTGGGGAGGAAGCAGAAAAAATTAAAATCTTTCATTCCCAGTACCACTTCACAGCATAGATTTGTAGAGCTTTAAGACTACTGGGCAAGGTGGTAAGCATCATATGTGATGTCCCCAAATAGCACATGGCATTATGCTCCATTTGATTGGTTCAAAATTGGGAAAGGAGTACGACAAGGCTTTATATTGTCTCCCTGCTTATTTAACTTATATGCAGAATACATCATGCGAAAGGCAGGACTCGATGAATTCTAAACTGGAATTAAGATTGCCAGAAGAAATATCAATAACCTCAGATACGCAGATGATACCACTCTGATGGCAGAAAGTGAAGAGGAATTAAAGAACCTCTTAATGAGGGTGAAAGAGGAGAGTGCAAAAAACGGTCTGAAGCTCAACATCAAAAACAAACAAACAAAAAAAACCCTAAGACCATCTCCACTGGTCCCATCACCTCCTGGCAAAAAAAACTAAGACTGTCTACACTGGTCCCATCACCTCCTGGCAAATAGAAAGGGAAGATATGGAGGCAGTGACAGATTTTGCTTTCCTGGGCTCCATGATCACTGCAGATGGTGACAGCAGCCACAAAATTAAAAGAAAGTGATGACAAACCTAGACAACATCTTAAAAAGCAGAGACATCACCTTGCCAACAAATGTCTGCATAGTCAAAGCTATGGTTTACCAGAACTGTATGGCCAGCATGGTGACCAACCATGATGGCTGGAGTTTTCTGAGTGTTGCAGTTCAAGACACTAAATTTCAAAGCTCTGTGTATATGATTAGGCCTGCTGTCTGGAGTAGGTTTTTCTTTTTAAATTCACACTGACTCGGGAAGCATTCATTGTTGTGCAAGAGTTCTTGGTCCTTCCTTGGCTTCTGCTTCATACAAATTCCAGCTCTTTTTCTTTTGCTCCATGTGGTATAGGCATAGATGGGCATGAAACCGTGGTTCGCCCCAGTTTGTTTACTGGCCCAATAGATGTTCCGTGGTTCGGCACTCTGCCTCCTACAGTGGGCACCCGCTTGGAGACAGCACCCAGATTTTCCTGCTCTACCTCCTCTTGGCATTGTCTCTGACTGGGTGCCCACTGGAGGAGGTGGGGTTTGACGTTCCGTGGTTCGGCACTCCGCCTCCTACAGTGGGCACCCGCTCGGAGACAGCACCCAGGTTTTCCTGTTCTACCTCCTCTTGGCATTGTCTCTGAGTGGGTGCCCACTGGAGGAGGTGGGGTTTGAAAGAGCTGGACACCTACCTGTTCAGCTAGTAAACTAACCAGGCTGAACCAGTGGTTTGTGCCGGTAGCAACCTTCCAGCTGTTTGTTTTTCTTAACTCCCAGAATTGCCTTTGGGTGCTACTGCCAGTTTCCCCCCTTTTATATGCTGCCACCAGAGGATTTTCCTCAATCTACCATATTGTAATAAGGAATAACAGCTGTCACCATTAACAAGGTTTATTTATAGGATAACAGTTCAATCATACATGGAAATCAAACATGGTCTTACTTCATTCATTCAATATATATACTTTTGATTTGATATATGCTTGCTTAGTTTGGTTGGGGGAAAAAAGACTTAAGGATGTTTCCTTGCTTGGTGTCTCTTTATGAATGGTAGTGAGCACAAGAGGGTAATCCTGCAGCCCATTTTGACTGCTGACATTGGTGTTGTCAACATTCAGGCTGTCCTTTGCTATGTAGAACTCAGCATGCTTTTATTGCTGGCAGTAAGGGCATGATAATTGAACTTTTAGAATTTCCATTTAGAGCTATAGAAATGTAAGTAAGTCGTCTGGCTATTTGGAGAGACGTATTTCACACTTAGACTGTGTGCTGGTAACTCTCCATTTTTGAAGGCAATAAAGTTTTATTATTTTGTTACTGAGATTCAATCCTGTTTTATTCAATCTCCAGCCAGTGAACAGGGGCTGGGCTGAAGGGCCATCCTTTCTCAACCAATTGCAATGCAATATTGCTGAATTTTAACTTGGAATGCTTAAGCTAGGCATGTCATATATACTTCACAAGAAAATGTTCCAAAGTAATGGAATTTTTGTTATGCACAACTATGGGCAGTCGGGCTTTTCACCTAAAATGTATACCAAGGTAATTTATACATATATAAGTCGAATCACGTACGTCAGGGCAACAAATGACCATTAATGAATGAGATGCTGATTGTGGTCCTGGTCACGTGACTGGCAGCCAACCAGAGACACGGCTGGCATCTTGTTGCTTAGTGGCAATTCATCACTGTGAATTATGCAACTTCACTTATGCACATGTACAGTAAATCACCATTAGGAAGGTTTAAACAACTTGATCTCAGTTTGCCTAAGCCTGAGAAACTAGTGGAAAAATGAAGTGGGCGGGCGTACAGATTTCAAAGCAACTATGCCATCTGAAGTGGAAGTGTAGCCCAGCAGCACCATCTAATGGATAATGTTCTGTTGAAATGCCACTGACGTATTTTTTAAAAAACAATCTGGCCCACTAAATCGCTATACAATTTTCTCTGTATTTTTTTCTCTTTCATTTGACTCCTTCCCCATTTGATCTTTGCTCCTTCTACAACCATGTGTTTATATACCCATCAGGTCAGGAAAACCCTCCATTATCCAAGCTAATACTCTAGTCCTTTGAAATGTTAACATTTGTGTTTATTGTCCGCAACAGATACCCTCTGGAAATCTACATGAAGAAAAGCATGCAAAGAGGTTTTCTCAGAATGTTTTGCATTTAAATAAATCCTACTTATTCAATGGCTGAAATCCTGTGGCTTAGCTTTGTAAGCCACAAGAGTAGGCTCACTGAATCACTGTGGATTTGGTGAGTCAACTTCACTGTAAGTGCCACTGATTTGATGGGCTTACCCTAGATGCAACTTACTACGCTAAGCAACAGGATTTCAGCCAATTAAACCAAGAATCAAAATGTTGTTACTATCAGTAAGTTGCTACTTAGAAAGGAATTTGTTGTTTAAGATTTTATTACAAGACATCAAAAAGCGGTTACCATCTAATATGTCCTCCTTTTGTTCTGTCTCGTTCAGACACACTGTGACACTGACTGAGTCCTTTGGACGTATGTCCAGTTCTTGGCAAGAGAAGGCCTTAAAATCATGTTTGAGAAAATGTGATTTTGCTGTTTTCACCAGATGTCTGCTCAACTGGACAAACTATAAAGTGATTTTAACTAGTTACCATGTAGCTGTGTTTAATTAGACATTTCCAGGCTGCATGTCTTGTAGAAACTAATGTTGGAGACGGTGCTTTTTATTTTTGGCTACTTTCTTACTCTCATTATTATTCACTGAGTCCCCAATTCTGCCTTTTAATCATGCCACATTCCGAAAGCTTGAAATCTTTGTTTTTGCCTTTTTCCCAAACTGAGAAATTATTATAACAATCGTAGAGTGAACATTGTGGTTTTCTAGTATTCCCATTGTAAATGGGCAAAACAAGCTTCTGGTTGAACATGTCTAAACTTGGAATGTGTTTTTCTGTGGGGAATGAATTGATCAGCACAGCAACTGTTCAGAAGGTGAGATTTGTGAGTAGTATTCAGCCACTGTCTCTTTAAGAAAGGCTGGCTAGCTCGGTGGTTTAGGTATCTGGCTGTGGAGCCAGAGGTTGGTTGTCCAATTCTCCACAATACCTCCTGTGAGTATAGCCAGCCTGTGTGGCCTTGAGCAAGCTGCACAGTCCATGGATACCCCCAGAAAAAAAGAGAATAGTAAACCACTTCTGAGTATTCTCTGCCTGGAAAACCCTGAAAAGTGTCACCATAAGTCAGACATGGTTTGACAGCATGTGGTTATTAAATAGTAGGTTCCTCAAGTTACAACAGAGAGGGCAAAGTGCAACCTGTGAACTGTGTGCATCACCCAGAGGCCCGACAGCACCCCCTTGCATCCAAATGCATTTTCTTACCTCCTAATGATCACTACCTAAAAAATGGTGGGTGAGGGTGGAGGAAAAGCAAAATTCAGAAACACTTGCTCTTGCTCTTGCTCTTTAGTGGCATGTGAAGCAATTTCACCAGGTACAGTATTTGTCCCCACAAGGTCTGTTCTTCAAAAGTTTCAGGTTTTTGGAGGGGAAACCCTCTCAGGCACCCAAAACAACTGGGTGGAGACGGGATGTCCTGAAAAAATTACCTTCCACATCCACTTGACTAGAGTATGTGATGGGGCTTTTCTTGAGGGGAAGAAGCCAAAGGAGATGGGGTACATGGGGAGCATAGCCCGCCAAGTTCCACGCGTGGACTTGCGTTGCCACGGGACTTCTGAATGTTCCCAGCCGCTGTCTTACAAAAACGTGCCCATGTTTTTAACAGGGCAAGGAGGATGATTTGTGATCTGAGTTGTCCTGGCTTTACAAATTCAAGACTTCAAACATAAATGTTTTGTTTTAAACTGAAGGGATTTTTTTTATTCCTTCCTTCCAGAAACACACAAATTGTACCACAACAGATTTAATTTTGCACTATAACAGAGGTGGGCAAACTGTGGCCCTCTTGATGTTGCTGGACTACAGTTCCCATCAGCCTTAGCAAGCACAGCCAGCAGTGAACGAAAAAGTTGCAGACTAACGATACCTGGAGGGTCACAAGTCGTCCATCTGTGCTTTACAACATATTCACATTGTCCAAGCTAGGACCAAATTGGGTCCATTGCCTTCTTTGCTGCAAGTGTCCTCTTGAGAACGTTGCCTGCCATCCATGTAAGGTTCTTAATACTGTGCTCCCACTGAACTGTTAACCACTGCTCCATTACTGATCTTTCACCTTTGGTGTGGTTTTAGCACTTCACAACAATACACTTTCCCTAGACAAAAGCTGAGGGGGGGTTACTTTTAAAATTATGTACTATGCAAAATGTAAGGCAAGCTTAGGATGAGACTCTAAAGAGAAAAGGCCAGGTAGGTGGTGTTTTAAGCTAATTAGACTGTAATTAAATAAATAAGTACTGTAACACGTTTTAGCTGTTCGTTCGCCATTGATATTATAATTGCTATTCTGAACTATTGAAGTGAATTGCATTTCTCCCCACTTGAATCAAACTCTATTATTATTCGTACTTTATTTGCATGTTATGATCTAAACAGTACAGATTATATTATTTCCTTCCTAAAATGGCATCATAGAGCTTTCCAGTCTTCTTGATTTCAACCTCCTTGAAACCAGCTGCTGTGAGTAGATTGCTGTACTCTGTTGGGGTCCGTTCTTTTCCTTCTGTTTGAACCAGCATGTTAACAGAGTAGAGCTGGCTTTCCAATGGCCCGCTTTTGTCTTCATTCAGAAGTGTTTCAACCAGTAAAACTCCACCACCTATATTGAGATGTAACATAGAAGATTCATATGTTGGACCCATGTGGTCTCTATCATCCACTCAGCAATTCAGTAAAATGAGACTTATGTTAAACCAGCAATAACAGCAACACAGAGTTACATGATGCAAAATCACCACCTGACTTTGAATGGAGGCATGTATTTTTATACTGTCCCTATAAAGTAAATCTCTACTTGGAAAGAAACTAATGGTAGGTTATTATACAAGGGTGACAACAGATTTTTCTAATCATTGAACTAGGCTGTCAAAATGCCATCATGATGGGTCATCATGGCTTAGGCTGATGAGAACTACATGTAGAGCAGGTGTCTCTATCGCCTGCGGGCCACATCGGCCCATGTTACTCTTTTTTTCAGCTTGCTCCGTTCAACCCATGCATGCGGGGGGGTGCATGTAGGTGGGCGAGTTTGTGCGGGCGGGTGGCCGTGCATACGTGCACGCACACACACACACATTCCTGTTCCTTTGGCTGGGCGGCCATGCATACATGCACGCACACACACATTCCTGTTCCTTTGGCCTCAAAAACTTTGAAAATATATGGTGTGGCCCTCACTGTATAAAGTTTGGAGACCCTGATCTAGAGGGCTGTAAGCCATTTACATCTGCTGTAAATTAAACCTTTGAAGCATTAAACTGGAAAAGGAGGAAGTGTGGCCCTCCAGACGTTGCTGGACTGTTACTCTCATAATCTGTCCTCCTTGGTTGTGTTGGCTAGGGTTGATGGAGGGTCATAAGCCAAGAACATCTGGAGGCCCCCAGTTGCCTACCTGTGCATTAAAGGATGACCGTTGTTACTGTAAGAGAACAACTGCAGCCCTTTCCAGTTGAAGAAACATGTGGAGTGGAAAATATAAAAATTACATCTTTATAGGAGACATCTTTTTTGATGTATTTCATTAGAAGATTTGTCAAGAGTCCCTGGTGTGTAAAGCCAGTTACTGATGGCGTTCTGCCTACCCCCTGGCCTATACCTTTCCTCTAAGTTCCTAAAAAGGCCTACAATGCTAGATAGCATTGAACAGGGGTTTGGACTCAATGGCCTTATAGTCCCCTACCAACTCCACTATTCTGTGGCCCTGTCCATACTGGTCCTTTTGGCTGTGGAGTGGATCAGGCTACAAAAGGTCTGTTGCACAAACAACACCTTGTAGTCCGATCAGCTAGCTATTAAGAACTTTCCCTGATTGTCTGCAGAGGATAAGGGAATGCAAAAGTACTTTTTACAGTGCTCCTCTCTCCCTCTGCCCCTGCTCTTCCATTTTCTCCCTTCCCCACTCCCTGCTTCCCTTCTCCTCTTCCCTTAGTCTTGCTCAGAATCTGCACCCAGGATACTGAGGCTGCTGGAGGGTGCTTTCTCCTGGCTTCTGAGTTCCTAAAAAGGTCTACAATGCTAGATAGCATTGAACAGGGGGTTGGACTCAATGGCCTCATAGTCCCCTCCCAACTCCACTATTCTATGGGCCTGTCCATACTGGTCCTTTTGGGTGTGGAGTGGATCAGGCTACAAAAGGTCTGTTGCACAAACAACACCTTGTAGTCCGATCAGCTAGCTATTAAGAACTTTCCCTGATTGTCTGCAGAGGATAAGGGAATGCAAAAGTACTTTTTACAGTGCTCCTCTCTCCCTCTGCCCCTGCTCTTCCATTTTCTCCCTTCCCCACTCCCTGCTTCCCTTCTCCTCTTCCCTTAGTCTTGCTCAGAATCTGCACCCAGGATACTGAGGCTGCTGGAGGGTGCTTTCTCCTGGCTAAACAGAGTGTGCCAAAAGGAATGCATGCCCTAATGCTGAGCCAGAAAGGTGCATGAAAGCCTTCTGTAGGGAAAGGATGACTCAATTAAAATATAACAACAAGCAAACATGTTTCTGCCCCTGCCCACCCCCCACCAAGCCAAACTGTGCCCTCAAAGTTTGGACAAACTCTATGATAAGTAAACTAATGGTGAATATTCATTTCTTTTCTTTTAATTACAAGGAGAGCCATGTATGTAAGTTCAAGTTTTGGTGCTATGCCTAGTAAGTTTTGTGAATGTGTGTCAGTGTTTCACCTTTATGAAGCAGATCCCCATCTTTGAACAACTATTAAAGATAATTTTTGCTTTGAGATGAAAAAGGATCAATAAAACCAGTTGCTTAGGTATAATTCAGCAAAAATCCTTATCAAGATACACAGCATGTTTCATGCTGCTTAATGAAAGCTGCTTGGTGCAATGTACCATATTCACTGCAGGTTTCATAAGCATTTTCCCTTGATAAAGGATTTCTTCAAAACCTGTTGGGAATCATATTTGTGTAGACAGCTACCAAAATATATTGTTCAGTCCCTGTATTTGTATTCACTGCAGGTTTCATAAGCATGATAAAGGATTTCTTCAAAACCTGTTGGGAATCATATTTGTGTAGACAGCTACCAAAATATATTGTTCAGTCCCTGTATTTCCAAGAGTGGAACATGATATGAAATCTGGAATTACTGGAAAACAGTGGACATGCAGAAATAATAGGACTTGACTTTTGACATGATGAGTGTAATACAGGCAGTCTTTTACGTATTGTAAACGCAAACATACCAGGTTTGCAGACATTCTGCACTTTTGTGAGAAGATGTACACATTTCTCATCTGTCCAGTCATGGAGGATCCTTGCTAAAATGTACAGGTCAGCTTCTGGAATTGGATCTTTAAAAAAGTCCCCTGTATTCAAATGTGGAGGGAAAAATGAGAGAACCCATTTATTTATGATTAACAAGTGATATTGCATCCTGCAACATTTTGAGATATACTTCACAGACCCTTTGTAGATCCACAGTTAAGGACTTATTTTTTTATCACATAAAAATATGAAACATATTTTAGCTACAAGGAATGCTGTATATATTGGGTGTGTATATATTTAAAATTTGTTTTTAAAAATCAGACTGTTACTGGAAGTCCACTTCTGGTTTCATTTTTATGGGTTGTCCATTATCAAGAGAGAAGATGGGAAACCAGCTGATGCACCCCCACACTTTTGCAAAAGCACAATTTCTGGAACCTCCCAAGGGCAGGATACGATAGTTTCATTTCACTTCATTTTATTGGTGGAAAATCTTTTGCAGTGGCAGCTGGAGAGTGCAAGCACAGCCCTGGAGGGCCATATGTGGCCCCCAGGCTTCTATTTGTCCACCTCTAATTTAAATGAATGTTTAAGCTTTTATAACATTTAACACATCAAGTTATATTCATTCATACAAGCGAAATTCAGATGAAGAAACTATATGACTACTCCTGGACCTACTTTCTACAGAGGGGGAGAAGAATTTAGTTGTAAGCCACCTAGAGTGGTCACAATTGACCAGATAGGCGGGGTATTAAATAAATAAACAAACAAACAAACAAACAAACAAACAAATAAAGAGGGGTACTAGAGACAGGTTTGCTTAATGAAAAAGGAATTTTATTCAGTTAAAAAAAAAAACCATCATTTAACAGCACTAAAATTTGGATTTTTTTTCCTGCATGCTGGCCAATTTTTGAGCATTCAAAGCAGTCTGGAGACCACCCATGAAGAAATACATATCTACCCATTTCCCCCACATTTTGAGGAAATAAAAAAATTAATGAAATAAGCTTTCTCTTTGTTTGATTCACCATCTACAAAATTAATGGAAAATCTGGTAGGGTGTTCCTTGTTTCTCTGCCTGCCTCAAGCCTCTAGTTCCCAATTTCCACTGGTGCCAAAGTCTGGAGGACTGGACGTCTCTGGATAAAAAAAAATTACTATCTTGTTGCCTTGTTCCACAACAAACTACCACTGATTGAAGAGTTACTTCTTCAATTTATCATATCAGAAACAAAAATACAAGAAAAATGTTGTGGCACCTTAAAGACTGCTATATTTTAATGTGAGCTTTCGTGGATAAATCCACTCAGACGACATCGCATATATTTACACATTTATACATGGCCTTAAAACAAAGAGACTGTTCCCTGGGTGCAAGTTGTTGACAGTGTGGCATTTCACACCTGGTAAGAAAAAGATCGTTACCAGATATGGGATGACACACCATCAGCAAGCTGTAGTCCCATTCAGTCCCAACTATTATGTCTGAGAAAGTGGACTTGTTCAAGAAAGCTGACATTAAAATATAGCAGTTAGTCTTTAAGATACCACTATGTTTTTAATCTTCTGTATTTTTTATTTTGCTTTTGTTTTTTGGCCTGATAGCCAAAGCGCAGACTAACATGGTTACCACTTCTAATTCTTCAGTTTAGAACTACACATAATTTTGTATTATGTGAGTCATACACATCGCCCAATCAAGAAATCAGTGGCAATCCACTGTGGATGGTGACCTCACTCCTGTTGTGCAGGCAGAACTTCACTATAGGATACTGGCCATTATTATTTATTCTCCAAAATACAAACAGAAATGCATTGTTGTTATATGTGACAGTATGCATTGTAGAATTGTTATTTGCATATTACCATAATTTTGTGCATGCCAGTGCCTTGATTTAGAGAGGGATAGAGGTTGTTTTTGGCTTTAGGTTTTTGTTTGTTTACTGACACTGGCTGAAATCCTGTTGCGTAGCAACAGTAGAGCCATTGACTTAATGGGAATTTGGGGAGTCAACTCCTCTGTAAAACCTATTGATTCAAATGGGCTGATTAAGTATGCAACTAGAATAGACCCATTTGAATCAATCAAGAGATCATGCAGAGGAGTTGACTCATCAAATCCTCACCGATTCAGTGGCCCCACACCAGTGCAAGGCCAGCCAATGTGTTAAGAATAGAAAATTCTTCAAAATGGAATTTCTAGAAAAATAAAGCTGATGGCTACAGCTAAGGCCACTGAGGAGACCTAAATGGAGGACAAGAGAAGGGGGAGGGTATTCTAACATCACTAAGGCACATAGTAATGCCAGGCTGTACAAAATTCTGAACTCTGTGGTGCAATACATCTAGGCTCTGCTGCTGAAGCTCCTTTCTTTTTTAGCTAGACATAATTACATGACTCTTCATCCATATTGGGACCACAGTGTCTGATATGTTTAAATTGTTTCCCCATGGCTGCTCTCCCCCATTCACCCCCAGGGAGTTTGAAAAAAGAAATGGGTCTTCCACTTGTGCCAATTTAGGGTGGGGAAACTGGTTCTTGATAAAAAGGTTTATATGAGGAATGGGGAATCTCTGGTCTGTGAGAATATTTGGTCACAGAAGGTAGAACTTTGACCTGCTTACAGGCATTCCATTAACACCGGCCCCTGTGGAGACAATGATGCCTGCTTGATTTGAAATGCTTCCTTATAACAGGCCTGGCCTAGGAGGAAATTGAGGTACACATGGAAATGGTTTCCATGTGGTAGTGAAGGAACAAAGAGCCCCACTTCAAGCCACATTGTTTTTGATGCTATAAAATGGATCTTCTGTGCCTGTAGACATTGCTGAGACTGTGAGCCAACATGCCAGCCACTGTAGTAAGGCTGAGACTGGCTCTGCTGTGATCTCCAGCAATGTATTCTACTTGATACAGAGACTAAAACTCTGGAACCGAAGCCAGCAAGTCTGTAAGATCTTCTACTCACATTTTTAGTAGCTTCTGCACAGTAGCTTCCGTGCCTAAAAATGTGGGCTGCTGAATGCAAGATAGCTTGGAGCTCAGTAGTCCATAGCAAACCATGAAGACACCTTTAAAAAATTCTCTAGGAACTTACCTCCAAGATCATAAATTACCATGAATGGAGAAAGATCAAATGCAGTGACCACATCTCTGCCACATATGCTCCAAACTGCATTCAATCCATGCATGAACATTGTCATTTCTTCCTCTGATCTAAAAATTTGAAATGCTTTAACCAGTAAGATTATGGCAGATATAGACATAGACCAATATACACATAGATTAATATTTTGAGATATATCTTAAGTGACACTTTAAATATTGCTATTCTAGTTAAAAATGCTTTTTTTATATTTATTGTTGTATTTGTAAGCCGCCTAGAATGGTCGCAAGACCAGATAGGCGGGATATAAATAAATAAATAAACATAGACTTTCACCCCTTAAGCCAAATTATGGGAATACAAGCCCCAAAACAGCAGGAAGTACAATAGCCCCTCTATCACTATTTAGTTCCCAACCACTGTCTGTTTTTCCATGCATGAATGCATAAGGCTCTTGCACATATAGTGGACCCTCGACTTACGGAATTAATCCGTATTGGAACGGTGACTGCAGGTCGAAAACTCCGTAGGTCGAGGGTCCATTTCCCATAGGAATGCATTGAAAACCCATTAATCCATAACCGGCTAAAGAAAAAAATACCCCACCACCAAAAAAGGAAAAGAAATGCAAAAAGCAGCACCTTACCAGTCCGAAGGGATCCCTCGCCACTGCCAAAGCCCTCCAAGGGCTTCCCCGCTACTGCCGGAGCCCTCACGGGGGTCCCCAGCTGTCGCCGTTGCCAAAGCCTTCCAAGGGCTTCTCCACTGCCATGGGAGGCCTCTTGGAGGTCATCCGGCGGCGGCGACAGCTTTCCCAGGATACACTGGGCCTACCAGGGGAGGGCTTCCCCCGGTAGGCCCCGTCTACTCCTTGGGAAAGCCTGGTAGA